TTGAATATTGATAGAAGTTTAGATCAAAAATTAAATATGGCAATATACAATTTTCATCATTTTTAGTTAATAAAAATCATATTTATTTGATTTAGCCAATCAAAAATAATTAATTTTGCATTACATTAAGTGATAAAATTGTTTTGTTGATCGTTGCACAAATGTGACAACAAAGAATGTCCACCATGCTAATAAATATACAGTTGGCAAAAGAAACTTTTAAATACTAATAAATTTTATACATAGCAATAATAATGATGATGATGATAATAAAATAATAACTAATTTTTTTCTTGAATTGTTGTATGAAAATAACCCATTGTTTAACTATAAATCCATTTTGGAAGAAAGAAATATTAATACAATGTTATATATATAATAAAAATTATTAAATAATAATATATTATTACTTGCTGCTTTGATGATCACGTGCGTAATAATAATAGTGAACACTATTTTGGAAAAAAAGAAATATTAATACAATGTTATATATTTAATAAGAATTATTATTAATAATATATTATTACTTACCACGCGTAACAATAAACCATAATAATAAACCCCGTTAATACAATAAGAATTATTAGTGATATATTATATTACCTTGATGGTCGCGTGCATAATAATAAATAAACCCGTTAATACAATGTAATATATGTATACAATAAATTATTATTATTAGTATTATTAGTAATATATTATTACTTAATAATAAATAAACCCGTTAATATAATGTTATATATGTATACAATAAACCATAATAATAAACCTATCAATACAATGTTATACAATAAATATTATTAATAATATATTATTATTTACCACGTTAACAATAAGCCATTATAATAAATAAGTAACAATAACCATAATAGTAAAGAATTATTATCAGTAATTGATATATTATTATTACCACCACCATTAATGCTTTGAACAATAATCCAATCCCATTGTTTAATTGGTAGATCTGTTTTTTTGAAAAAAAAAATATTAATATGATGTTATATACAATTCATTATCTATTAGGGTGCTGACATATATTAGCTAATATCATTTTAATAGTAGTGCTTACTCCCCCACCCCCTGGTAAGACATTTTGATCACGTGTATGATAATCAATTGCCTTTTTAGGTATCAACAAAGCACAAGCGAAAAAAAAGAATTAATTTTATTAATAAATCAAGCAACATTGGAGTAAAAAAAATTTCCTTCATAATATATCATGATCTCTTGGACTTCCTGAGTATATTTTGCATTGGCTATTTCTTTGACAAAACAACCTATTTGGTTCTGAGTGTAATAACTCTTAATTGAAAATTACAAACAATGAATCCTGCTAAAGGAAAATCTAAAGAACAAAACTCAAGGATTCTTGATGATTTCTCTCTTCTCAATCACAACAAAAGTGTCCTCTTTTTGACAAAATATATTTAAGGAAATGTATATCAGATAAAGAATGATTAATTATAGCATTTATGTATATGAGAATGT